CCAAAGCCCCAGTAGATAGTTGTATGTCATAGCTGCACATCCTTCTAGTTGCTGTATGTGGGACGCGGCCTCAGCATGGCCAGAGAAGCGGCACGTCGGTGCGTGCCCGGGATCCGAACCCCCGTTAAGCCATGGGGCCGGCCCATAGTTAGTTGAAATTTGAATGAAGTTTGTGGATTAGATGGTAATTTTGGATCTATGTTAGTTTTTTAATTTTGATAGTTGTATTCTGGTTATACAGGAGAATGTCCTTTGCTTTTTTTTTTAAAAGCAAACACACATGAAAGTATTAAGTGGTAAATGGGTATCATGCGTGTTATTTATACTCAAATGGTGCAGAAAACTACACACACACTAGTACATAGAGGGGGGAAAGTGGAAGGAAGGCAGAGGGAGGGAGAACAATAAAACAAATCTGGAAAACTGGGGAATCTGACAGAATATGTGGATAGCCTTTCAACGATTTTTTCAACTTTTCTGTAAATTTAAAATTATTTTTAAAAATTTCTGGTTGAGAGCAATTGCTTGCAGTATGCTGCAGGGAGGCACTGATATATCCTTTTCAGAAGAAGATACATTCTAGACTTTGCGTAGTTAAAAAATGATCTAACGAAGACAAAAACGTTTGCTTACATAACTTTCCTGGGTCTCTTCTAGTCTTATGAAAAAAGGTCACCTAGAATTTAATAAGTACTAAAAATAATATTAATAAAAATACCATATGATTAGCAACAAAGAATAACTTCTCTACCCACCTCTAAATCAGTTAAACATTTTTTTGAAGCAGGAGACAGAGGAGAAGGAGTACAGTGATAGGTACTACTGTGACGTTTCTGTGGTACTTTCCTTTTAATTTCAGATTCCAGGTGCGATTCAGACTCTTCTGTTTTCTTCATTATACGATCTGAAGGAAGCGGGAAAAAAACAAAAGTACTGAAATTAAATTTTATAAATTCTTCATGATCTTTGCGATGAAAAAATACTAATTTATATTATCAAATTATTATGTTTTAGTTAAAATAAACTAATGCTTTAACATGTAATGCAATAAAGAATAACCAGAACTTTGTTAAGTCAGAGCCAGGAGTCGTCGCCTGGCTGCTCTTGTGTACTTTTCACTCTTCACCAGGGTCTCCACACTGTGGGCCACTTAAATCAAGTGTACCAATATTCTCTTTAGCTTATTCTGTGCTACTAATGCAACAGAAGCACTTCCCGCACTGAATCACACACATAATACAACCCCCATCCCCCACTTTTCTAAGTTAGTTACTCTTCTTGTAATAGTAATGAGAAAAATCTGAATTCCAACATTAGGTACAACTGTTTAGATAAAGCAAACTAAACTAATCCTCAACCTAATGGTTTTTTAAGTTTAAGAAATACAAAAGGGAATTTTCCTCGTTATTTCTGAAGTAAATGTAATAATTTTCATTAAGGATATAATTAGAATTTTTAAATGATTTAATGAGCTCCAAAACAGGACAATTTAAAATTTACTACGTGGGCCGGCCCTGTGGCTTAGCGGTTAGGTGCGCACGCTCCGCTGCTGGTGGCCCGGGTTCGGATCCCAGGCGTGCACCGATGCACCGCTTCTCCGGCCATGCTGAGGCTGCGTCCCACATACAGCAACTAGAAGGATGTGCAACTATGACATACAACTATCTACTGCGGCTTTGGGGGAAAAATAAATAAATAAAAAATTAAAAAACAAGAAAAAAAAAAGGAAGGATAGTCCATGCTCATGGATTGGAAGAATTAACATAGTTAAAAT